ACCTTGGCTTGCAGATCACTCGGGACAGAGCACGCCGCACCATTACCTTGACTCAGTCACACATGGTGCAGCAGGTCCTTCAGCGCTTCGACTTCACGTACTCCTCGCCTCAGGCCACTCCTCTATCTACTCGCCACTCGCTCTTAGCTCTGCCTTCGGATGAGTCCGTAGAGCCGAGTGGCCTGTACCCAGAGCTTGTTGGCTGCCTCATGTACCTGATGACCTGCACACGACCTGACCTTGCATACCCTCTTAGCATTCTTGCACGCTATGTTGCTCCTGGGAGACACCGACCAGAGCACATGGCTGCAGCGAAGAGGGTATTGCGCTACCTGTGCAGTACGTCGGGCATGGGGCTAGTGCTTGGAGGGCGGAGTCCAGTGGTACTTACAGGTCACGCGGACGCTTCTTGGGCTGACGACCAGGCTACGCAGCGGTCGTCACATGGTTACACCTTCAGCCTTGGCTCCGGCTCTGTCTCGTGGCGGGCTACTCGCTCGTCTTCGGTTCTCAGCTCGAGTTGTGAGGCTGAGATCTACGCAGGGGCCATGGCTGCACAGGAGCTTCGCTGGCTCACCTACCTGCTGACTGACCTTGGAGAGCCGCCTCGTTCTCCTCCAGTGCTGTACGTAGACAACAAGGCCATGCTGGCCTTGTGTCGAGAGCAGCGTCTGGAGCACAGAACGAAGCACATTGCTCTTCGCTACTTCCTTGCTCGTGAGCTACAGCAGCGTGGACAGTTGCGGCTTGCGTACGTGGCCTCTGAGGCCAACACTGCTGATGTGTTCACCAAGGCACTCGCGCCTTGTGACCATCAGCGCTTCTGCACCCAGCTGGGTCTTGTGCCTGTCTTGCCTCACTTGCTCTCCTCTTGACTTTACTTGTACTGTCACATATATATACCTGCTCTTGCTTGTCTAGCTTTATATATATATGTGTGTACTCCTGCATGTGAACTGGCCTTGTGGCCTTGCTCTTGTGCTCGGACTGTGTGGTGACTTTGTGATCCACCTTGAGCTTTGCTTTGCTTTGCTTGACTGGTCTTGTGACCCCTTGTTCTCCCCCACTTTGCCTATGGGGGTGTGTCAGAACATATACGTAGCTTATGCTGTTGTGTAGGCTACAGTGGGGTATACCATAGGGTGTACAACCCAATTAGGGCTTTGCTATTTGTACTCACTTCACTCATAGTTCATTTCATTCTCGTTCTATTCTCTACAGGTGCCGCTGGTCTCATGTCCTCCCCAACGAGCTGCGTCTGGCATAGTCGCGCCCGCGGAGCGCCCATCTCACCCAACAGCGTCACCCCTTTAACCGCCATCGGTACCACCCGTCCCGCTGGGAAGCTCACCGCGACCGGCCTTTCTGGAGCTTGCAAAGACACCTCGTCCGGGCAGAAGAGGTGATCCGTCTTGACCTTTTCCCCGTCATCGCCGCGCACTGTCCAGTACATAAATTCCTGTGTGCGCGCCAAGACCGTGCGCACCACTTTTGCTGCTGCCACAATTGCCGTCGATGTCTTTGGCGCTGCTAGCATAGCCTTCCAGCTCGCCGGCGCTGCCTCGTATGCCTTCGTCGCCCACCTAGCTGACGCCACACTGCCGAACTCCGCCGTTAGCTCTCTGATTCCCTTCAACTCTCTTCCCCCGTCCGCCTTGGTCATGAGCAGGTCGCCAAGCCGTGTCGTGGGAATACCCTCCTTCCCTTTTCGGTTCCCGAAAGGGCTGTTGCCTCGGAAAATGATACGGCGGTTGAAGCAGAGGAGCTCGCGCTCCACCTCCCACCCGTTTAACGGCTCCGGGAGGTTCGCCAGCGGTGATTCCCATAAAACCTCGACTACCGCCTTCCACCTCTGACTACCCTTCTCCCAGTGCTTTCCAGCAGATTTATGTGTGAAGAGCGTCGCCGTCCCCTGTGGCATCGCCGCTGCCCTCTCCGCCAGCCAACTCTTGGTAACACTTTTTCTCCGTAAGTAGCTTGCCCACCATTCGAATCGCCAAACTGTCCAGTCTATCCTTCGGGTCCACCAGCCCCAGGCCCCCCTCCTTTTTTGGAAGTCTTGCCAGCTCACCACTCCATAGGACAAAAATATTGTCTGCTGTTGCCTCCCCTTTTGACACATAGTTGTCACAGGTCTTTTGTATCTTCGCCCACAGCTCCTCTGGCGGCGGGTAGATCTGCGCCTGGAAGAGGAAAATCGGCATTACATAGTTGTTAATCACCATGACCCGCGCCGCCGTCAGCAGGTGTTGGCTCTCCCATTTCACCAGCTCACTCTTCCCGCGCTCCCATGCCTTTTCCCAGGACGGCGCGGCATCACCGTCCGGCGTGACCCAAATTCCCAGCAGTCGTTCCGGTTTGTCGCCTTCCGCCCACTTGAAAGACACCCTCGGTAGGGATGTTCTTCCTTTGTTCCTTCCCAACGGCATAACAATTGACTTCTCCCCATTCATCCGTAGCCCCGACAGGTTCCCGAAGACGTCCAGTGCCTCCGCCGCCGACCGAAGCTGGTCCGCCCCCTGGAGTATGAGCGACGTGTCGTCGGCGTAGCCTACGTACGCCACCGATTCCCCCCCTTCAGCCTTGACGCCCAAGTCTCTCTTCCTGATCTCTGCACAGAGCGGCTTCAGAGCGCACAGAAACAGGTACGGCGCCAGTGGGCACCCCTGCCTGACCCCCCTCTGCATTTCCACCTTGTCCCCGATCCAGCCGTTGATCGCCAGTCTGGTGCCAGACCCCTGATGAAGCCCCTTCGTCCACCGCACAAAACTCGCAGGTAGTTGAGCTTGGACAGTGTTTCGAAAAGGAAAGGCCGCGACACTGTATCATATGCTTTCTGGAAATCCACCAGCAAGAGGTACCAGTCATCCCCCCCGCTGTCCGCCGCTTCAATCGCATCCGCCACCACCGTCACCGCGTCTGCCAGGCTGCGGCCGGGAATGAAACCATGCTGCTCCTGCGAGAAGCCTACGACATGTTTCGTAGCCTCGGGCGTCCACCCACACTGAAAGGAAATCTCGTCCAAAAATGCAAGAAGTTGCCGTATGTTTCTAGAGAAATTACTTGTCGAAACTTTTACTGCTGTACGAGGCTGCTCACAAACAAAAAACAGCCCGCCAAATGGAAAACCCTCGATATGGATAAAAGAAAATCACGAACGGGCACGATCTCTCATCGTTTGAACGAGCAGGCTGAAAGACATAATTTGACCCATTTCAAAACTAATGCAGCGTTTACCCTACAGCATGCCACTCAGAGCAGGCCTGCCTGAGTGGAACTGGAAAGCAGAAATGGAATTGACTTTCACTGACGGTCGAGCTTGCCTGAGCAAGCATTTTTGTGGTAGCGTCCTCAACTTAACTCGGTCTGGTTTTTTTACGCGTTTGGTAGCCAAAAGCATTGGGCAGGTATGGTGTTCTAATAAAGATTCGGTGGGTTTTAAGGTAGGTTGAAATTGGGCCGAGGAAGATCACATGCACCAACCGCAGTGTGACTGGGGGGGCTACCGAACAGGGCCCTAAGGGGGTGTCCAGCTCGTACATTTACTGTTCGTAAGCCCACTCAGTTACCACATTTTTTGTTGTAACACTGTATTGAACGTGTCCTGGGGACACAATCAGCTTTCGTTCACAAAACGGCACGCCCCCTGCACGTACCTCGAGTCGTCTGACTCACGTTACTGGAATTAGCGGGGACACGAACAAGGGTGCAACACCGCGTCATGGCCACTACAGTAGTGCCCCATGTATCGCTTGCACAATTTCGCCAGTAGCTCGCTACACTCGCCAACACCCCCCCCCCCCCGCCTGCACAAAAATTCGTTAGCTATGATTGACGAGGGAAACCGTTACCTCGTTTCGAACCCGATCAGAGCACTGTTGATTCGTGTGGCGGAGAACGTGTCCGCGCTCCTGAAAGTACAGGTAGGTGGGACTCAACTCACAATGCATTCGTTTATAGGTACAGTGAATTTTTTTGAACCTCGAGACGTGTGTTGGCACTAAAAACCCCGAAATGAACGAACTGGACACGCCCTAAGCTATCTGCTGAAGAAATACAAGGAATCTGCTGACGCCGAGTCGAAATTGGGATGGGATGGGATGAGATGGGATGAGATGGGATGGGATGGGATGGGATGGGATGGGATGGGATGGGATGGGATGGGATGGGATGGGATGGGATGGGATGGGATGGGATGGGATGGGATGGGATGGGATGGGATGGGATGGGATGGGATGGGATGGGATGGGATAATGGAAACGTGTGTGGGAAGGGACGCGACGACTTATGGGACTGCTACATTTTTTCTGGAGGACTGGCGTGCTTGGCGGATGGCGGACGGCCCATGTTACTGTACTGTCTGGGAAGTTCCCCTCGCAATCTATGAGGTTCCTCCTCAACGTCAGCTCACCCTTCGCAAACCTGCAGCTCTGTTACAAGCGCTTTCGCTGTAGGCGGAAATGCGGTATCGAGGGGAAATGACTGTTCGTCAACCAGCCAGCACACTATGCGCCAAAAGCAAATGCAACGAGTCTCGGGAGGACTGGTTACCAGAGCGGAATGACGTTGGCGAAAGTCGTCGTCGCTCCTATCGAAAGAGCAGCTCGCTCGCGGTTGTCCACACACACGGATGTGCTCGAACCATTCGACGTGTGAGTTGCCCGAAGAAAAGCAGCGAAGGTAAAATATCGGCATCGCCAAGAAACAGCCGACTCTCGTCACTCTGTTACTTTCGCCACAAACAGCCTGACCGCAGTCTGGTCGTACAGATGTAACACACCATAAGGTTGGAAGCTTGGCGTATTGCATGATTGAAGCCACCTTACAACCAGCACCAGACAGCCATTTGATTTTTCAAACAGGCGTCGATGATCTAATCTCGTATGCGATTTGTACAAGCATTTATTAGGGCCTTATCGGTGCGTATTTGGGGACACTAGCTTGGCGGTCCGTACTGATGTGAAGCATACATACTTCCGAAGCCACGCGTTCATTCGCAAATGCCGCCCATTCCGGTCATTCACACCCTCCCACCACTCAGATATCTACTTTCGCGGGCGGCCCACATCTCGTCGCGCGCGCATCCCCTCCCCGTCACCCCCGTCGCCTTTCCCATTCCCGTCACCTCCTCCCCGTCGACTTCCATCCTCGTCGCCTCTCCTCCTTCTCACATTCCATCTCCTTCCCATCGCCTTCCATTCTGTCGCCTCCTCCCCGTCGCCTTGCATATCCATCGCCACTCACCCCCGTCGCCTACCCCGCCGTGTTTCCCCTCTCCTCCCCGTGGCCTCAACCCCTGCTCCATCCTTGCTCGCCTCCTTGCTTCCTTCCTCATTCCTCGTCCATCCCTTCCCCGCGGTGACTCAAAAGTCTTTCCCCGCTCCTCCCTTTCTCCCGTGCTCTCTTCATCCCGTCGTCCCTTACTACCTCCCTCGCTCGCTTCAGCTTCATCAGGTGCGCTCGTGCTTCCAGCGAGGGGGGAAGCTGTGTAAACGTTTGTGTTGTCTTAGTCGAAGCTTTATACTCGTCATGGAAAAAATATCTATAACACTCGTAATGATTGTGTTAATTTCATATATTTATATACATTTTTTTTTCATGTGTTCAACTGTACTTGCAAGCATCGCGTCCATCCCCGATTCGCAGCAGCAGCACGTCGTCCATCGCAGGGATGGTCGCAGTCGCAGTCGCAGTCGCAACCACAGCGAGGTGACTTTCGAGTCCACTCAAAGTCATATCGTCGTCCGTCGCAGGGCCGTCGCAGGGATGGTCGCAGTCGCAGTCGCAGCGAGCGACATCGCATGGCTGCTCCTGGTCGGCGCGGTTTGGGGAATCACAAATCCGCTCATCAAGCGCGGCGCCGCGATGTCGAAGCGGCACATCAAAGCGGACGAATCCGCCGCCGCCGCTGCCGGCAAAACCGCCGGCCTGGAAGCTTCCATGTTGTTTCCTGAAAGATTGTCCTTCAGATGCAGGAGATTCGTCCACGTGGTTACCCGTGATTGGCAAGTTGGTCGACGGGAGGGAGTAGGTAAGAGGCAAGGGTTCAGAGAGATGTTAGCGGCATTACTTAGGAGCTCCAGCCATAGGTGGTTATAGGCGTACTGTGGGCTTGGGTCTCAAAGAACTCTGGGAAAAGTGAGGCGCGACAGAGCTGCTTGGCGGGTTGCATGACAGACACACCTAGCAGAATGTAAACGTTTCCGACGTCCCTGTCCCCCCTGTTCCCTTCCTTGCCATCGTCCCCCGGCAAAATGTACACGATTGCATTTGAGGGTGTACTAAAGTTAGGACACGATCCAAAAATGTACACGACGGGTTTTGAGTCGCCTTGTGAGTCGCCTTTCGAGTCGCCTTTTGAGGCGTTTTGTTTGGAGCCACCCTCTCCGCTCTGCCAAGGGAATACTCCACAGCCACCCTCTCTGCTGCTTCCCTCTTCCCTGCTGACCCAAGAGCTCACCGCCCTCCTCCCTCCCTGTCCTGTGGCCCCCTCTACATAGCGCACCCTTCTAGATGTGCCTTGCGCATACCCTTCTCTCGCCCCATCCTCACCCCACCCTCACCCCACCCTCACCCCACCCTCACCCCACCCTCACCCTACCCTCGCCCCACCCCCACCCCACCCTCACCCCACCCTCGCCTCCTCTTTCCATTCCCTTTCCCTTCCCTTCTTCCTTCTTGACCCCTTCACATCCCCTTCCCTCCTCTCTTCTCTCCTATTTGTCCCATTGACAGGCGTGCGTATCTCTCCTTAGTCCAATCACTGCCGCTCTGCTTCCTCTCCACTTCCCATCTTTGTACCACATGTGATGAGTCGGTTTTTGAGTCCACTTCCCATCTCTGTGCATCCAACTTTCCTGAAACCCTTTGTGTGGCGCTCTTCTGCAACGCCCCACACCACTGCCCATCTCTGTACCACAAGCCTCTGTGCCAGTGGGAACACTCTGTAGCACAAGCGTTGCTTCTTCACTTTGCAGAGACGCTTACGTCTTTCTCCCAGTCAGCAGACGATTAATGCCTTCCCCCTCTGCAACCCCCTACCTCCGTCAGTAAGACACACACACGCCTCTGTGCCTCAACCTCTCCGGTTCACTCCTCTGCTTCCTTATCCTGAGGGACACCCACGTCTCTCTCAACCAGCAACACGCTCTGCCTTCCCTCTCTGCACCCCCCATCCGCACAGTGGTACACTCGTCTATCCCAGCCTCTGTGGGGATGGGGGGTGCAGAGAGGGAAGGCAAAAACCTGTCTCAACCCCTCAGCGTCTGTGCCTCAACCTGTCGGGTTTAGTCTCTTGCTTCCTCACCCTAAGGGGCGTGCACGTCTTTCTCAGTCAGCAGTGACAACTGCCTTCCCCTTTCCCCTCTCCCTTTCACCCTCTCCGCTTCCCCCTCTCCCCTTCCCCCTCTCCGCTTCCCCCTCTCCCCTTCCCCCTCTCCGCTTCCCCCTCTCCCCTTCCCCCTCTCCGCTTCCCCCTCTCCCCTTCCCCCTCTCCGCTTCCCCCTCTCCCCTTCCCCCTCTCCGCTTCCCCCTCTCCCCTTCCCCCTCTCCCCCACCAGTACGACTCCCCTCTGTGCCTCAACCTCTCGGGCTTGTTGCTGTTCTTCCTCCTCCTGAGGGGTGCACATGTCTCTGTGGCAGTGCTGTGCCGGTCAGCAACCCTCAGTCCCCTACTTAAATCCACCCCCCTCTGCACCTCCTCTGCACCCCCTCTGCACCCCCCTGCTCCCAATTGCACCCCCACCAATACGACTCCCCTCTGTGCCTCAACCTCTCAGGCTTGCTGCTATTCTTCCTCGCCCTGAGGGGTGTGCGACACATCTCTCCCACAGTCTCCCCCCTTCCACCCCCCCCCCCCCAACCATCTGACCCCGCCTCCCCCTCTCCAGTACCACCTGCCGCTGTGCGGCTGTGCCTCAACCCCCACCCCACAGTGCTACACGGCCCTGGGCCTCTTTTTGAGAATTCTAAAAAACCAGCTACACGGCTTCCCTTGCTTCCTTACCCTGAGGGGCCTCCCTTGCTTCCTTACCCTGAGGGGCACCCACGTCTCTCCCGGTCAGCAACACGCACTGCCTTCCCTATATGGGAGTGACTTTTGAGAATTCTCAAAAGTCACTCCCATATAGGGGCACCCACGTCTCTCCCGGTCAGCAACACGCGCTGCCTTCCCTCTCTGCAACCCCCGCCCCCACAGTACTACACGCTTCTGTGCCTCAACCTGCCGGGTACACTCCGTTTCATCCACACACCACGACGCACGTTTCTGTGGCATTCCCTGTCAGCAAACTTTTGAGACGTCTCAAAAGTCGCACGTTTCTGTGGCGTTCCCTGTCAGCAAACTTTTGAGACGTCTCCAAAGTCGCACGTTTCTTTGGCATTCCCTGTCAGCAAATCTCGCTTCTCCTTTCAGTCCTCTTCCTCCACCCACCTCTGCACTCCTCTTCCTCACACTAAGGGATGTGCATGCCTCTCTGGCCGTGGCAGTGCAGTGCCGGTCAGCAACCACCACTGCCTTACCCCTCTCCCCGAAACAAACAACACAACCCCCCCTCCGCTTCCCCCCTTCCCAGTACTACGTGCCTCTCTGCCTCAACCTCTCTGGTTTAGTCCTCTTCTTCCTCACATTAAGAGGCGTGCATGTCTCTGTGGCCGTGCCGGTCAGCAACGGGGCTACCTTTGCCTTCAACGCAGCAGCTGCCTATGCGTTTGGGGAGAAAATACAACTAGTACAACCCCCCTCCGCCCCTCCCCCCCTACCCCCTTCCCCCACCCCCTCCCCTTCCCCCTTCCCAGTACTATGTGCCGCTGTGCCTCAACCTCTCGGGTTTGGTCCTCTTCTTCCTCACATTAAGAGGCGTGCACATCTCTGTGGCAGTGCCTGTCAGCAACGGTGCCACCTTTGGCTTCAACGCAGCAGCTGGCTATGCGTTTGGGGAGAAAATACAGCCAGTACTAGCCCCCTCCCCCTCTTCCCCACCCCCTCCACCCCACCCCCCCAACCCCAACAACAACCCCAACCCCAACACCACAGTACTACGTGCCTCTGTGCCTCAACCTCTCGGGTTCGGTCCTCTTCTTCCTCACCCTACGAGGCGTGCACGTCTCTGTGGCAGTGCCGGTCAGCAACGGGGCCACCTTTGCCTTCAACGCAGCAGCTGGCTGTGCGTTTGGGGAGAAAATACAGCCAGCGTTAGCATTGGGGGGTGTATCGCTGGCTGTGCTAGGCATTGCCTTGTGTGTATAGCGAGTTATGCTTGATACCAACAACAGTAGTTAAACGATTTGCTTGGGAACCATGGCCTCTGCAAAGGCGTACTGTATATCACACAGACACACACACACAGACACAGACACACAGACACACATGAACACACACACACACACACACACACACACACACACACCCACCCACCCACCCACCCACCCATCCACCCACCCACGCACCCACCCACGCACCCACCCACCCACCCACCCACCCACCCACCCACGCACGCACGCACCCACCCACCCACCCACCCACCCACCCACCCACCCACCCACCCACCCACCAACCAACCACCCACCCACCAACCACCCACCCACCAACCACCCACCCACCACCACCACCACCACCACCACCACCACCACCACCACCACCACCTTATAACCGCATGCATAGAATTCATATGCCCCATCCTGCTTCACGCACCGTGGTCGTCATGTGTCCCCCCTGCCCCATACGCCCTTGATCAAGTCGATTTTGAGTCGATAAAAAAATCTGCTTATCGCACCGTGGTCATCATGTGTCCCCCCTACCCCATACGCCCTTGCGGGTGACGATCATGAGCTTGGGCACCGTGGCCTCTGCATGGGCGTACAGCAGCACACCCAGCACCATACAACCCCCAAGTACCGACAATCACTTGTGCCCCTCGGCCCATCATACGCACCCCCATACGCCTTGCATGTGAAGACAGTGAGCCTGGGCACTGTTGCAGCTGCATACGCATACAGCAGCTTCGCTCCCTGCCTGCATGTTGATGCGGCTCCTGCGCTGCGCCTGCAGGTGAAACGAGTGAGTTTAGATTAAGACGTCTCAAAACACAAAGACACATAGGCAGATGTGTACGAACAGAACACACGTGTATCACCGCATACAATAGCTTCGCTCCCTGCCTGTTGATGCCGTTGTGCTCCTGCTCCGTGCCTGGACACACCGATAGACACACGGGCATGCATAAGTGCCTGATCATGCCGTTGTGCTCCTGCTGCGTGCATGCACACAAATAGGCACACAGACATGCGTCGATGCACAAAACACACGTGTATCACTGCATACAGCAGATTCGCCCCCTGCCTGCCTGATACTGCCGTTGTGCTCCTGCTCTGTGCCTGTACGCATGCATCGACACACATAAACACAAATGGACAGACGGGCATCAGTGCACATAACGCATGTGTAGCCATGAGAACAACAGCTCCGCCCCCTGCCTAATGGTGCCGTTGTGCTTCTGCTCCGTGCCTGCAGGGGAAACACAACGACACAGAGGCAGGAATGTACACACAGAAACACACGTTGTATACAGCAGCTTCGCCCCCTGCCTGCCTAATGGTGCTGTTGTGCTACTTCTCCATGCCTGTACGCATTAGACACACATAGCCACAAATGAGTACAGCAGCTCCGCCCCCTGCCTGATGATGCCGTTGTGCTCCTGCTCCGTGCCTGCAGGGGTGAAACGCGCACACATAGACACACATAATGCACACTTGTGTATCACTGGGTGCAGCAGCTTCCTCCCTGCCTACCTGATGATGCCGTTGTGCTTCTGCTCCGTGCCTGCAGGGGCAGACACGTGTGGAGACACAGAGACACACGGACATGTATAAGACACATGCATCACTGGGAATAGCAGTTGTGATGCCGTTGTGCTCCTTCTCCATGCCTGCAGCAGGGGAAGAGAAGCACACATAACATCTGGACTCACAAGGATGGACAAAACACACACATGACACACTCTTATGTGTCCACACTACCCCACACGACCCCACCCGACCCCACCCGACCTGAGCCCACCAGAAAGGGGTCAGGCTAGGTCGGGTCTACCTGGCTGGGTTGGGTCGGGCCCACCTGGTTGGGTCGGGTCGAGCCTACCTGGTTGGGTCGGGTCGAGCCTACCTGGTTGGGTCGGGTCGAGCCCACCAGTGGAGCGGCGACCCTGCCTGGCCCCTCGGCCAAAACACGGGGTCGGGTCGGGTCGGGTCAGGTCAGGTCGAACCGGCCTCGGCGACCCTGGCTTGGCGACCCTGCCTCGGCGACCCTGCCTCAGCGACCCTGCCTCGGCGACCCTGCCTCGGTGACCCTGCCTTGGTGACCCTGCCTCGGCGACTCCTGCTTCGGCGACTCCTGCCTCGGCGACTCCTGCTTCAGCGACTCCTGCTTCGGCGACTCCTGCCTCGGCGACTCCTGCCTCGGCGACTCCTGCCTCGGCGACTCCTGCCTTGGCGACTCCTGCTAGCCTATTATTCCTGCCAGCGTTGACGATCACGCAGCAGCAGCAGCAGCGATATAGGCCCGGACGACCCTGCCCGGGCGACCCTGCCCAGGCGACCCTGCACCGTTTATTCCTGCTGGCATCTAAGACAAAGCAACAGCAGCAGCACAGTATAGGCCTGCCTGGGCGACCCTAACTGTCGACTCCTAAGCGTTGACGATCACGCAACAGCAGCAGCAGCTGTCGCTGTAGCCCCGGGCGACCCTGCGCCGCCTATTCCTGCTAGCGTCGTCGACGAAGCAGCAGCAGCCGCTGCTGCGAACGGCAGCGGCGGCGGCATCCCCGCTAGAGAGAGGAGCGCTGCTGCTCCGCGAGAAGCGGGAGACGCGGCGCAGGGAGTGGTGTCTGGAGTGGAGCGGAGTGAGTGGAAATGGGTGGTGAGAGGCGAGAGGCGAGAGGCGAGGGAAACGGGGCAGGATCTTGCTGCTCCACTACAAGCACAAGACGCGGCACAGGGAGTGGGGACTGCAGCGGAACGAGTTGAAAAGTGGGGTGATAGGCGAGAGGGGAGAATGGGCGTGGAGAGGCGAGAGGCGAGAATGGGCGTGGAGAGGCGAGAGGGGAGAATGGGCGTGGAGAGGCGAGAGGCGAGGGGGGGCGGGATCTGGCTGCTCCACTACAAGCGGAGCCCGCGAGAATGCGGGCGAGCACCATCGTGGTGATTGGTGGGAAGGGAGAAGTCTGGGAGAAGTCTGGGCGTAGTCTGGGCCTAGTCTGGGAAACGAGGCGGGATTTAGTAGCTGCTCTGCGACGGGCATGAGACGCGGCGGCGCAGGAGCGGCGTCTACAGCGGAGCGAGTTGAAATGTGTGGTGAGAAGCGAGAGGGGAGAGTGGGAGTTGGGAGGCGAGAGGCGTGGGAAACGCGGCGGGATTTAGTAGCTGCCCCGCGACGAGCATGAGACGCGGCGCAGGGAGTGATACAGAGGAGAGGCAAGAGGTTGCTGCTCCGCGACGAGCGGAGCCACTAAAAATGCGTGCGAGCACTGTCGGAATCTTTCTTCCCCTCTGCCCTCGTGTGTCGGTGCTATCCTCCATGCCTCCCTGCTATATCTCATCAGCCCATCAAGTTCCTTAGCTCCCTCCCCAAGCCTTGGGTCTTTGGTTCTGCCTTTCCTACTTGAAAGTTCCTAGCTACTAGATCTTGGCTAGGAAAACCTAACTCGGCTGACTGCCGATCAAACCCCTTTTCAACAATTCACTTGGGCTTGCTGTGGTTGGCTCCTCTACGAAAGCAGCAATAGGGAGTAACAAATCTTTGGCTAAGAGTGGAAACAAACAAGCAAGCAATTGAACCTACTTCGGTTGCTTGCCTAAGTAGTAGGGTCGGGTTACCGTTGCTCCACAACGGATACCCGCTTTCGCTATGTCTCCTCGTTTCCCCCGCCTTGATTGCGCGGGGTTCCTTTAACTCCTTTGTAACTCTACTCACTACTGTAATCTGTCATGATTTTATATTGTCCCTGCCTACGCTATTTTAGCAATTAAAAACATGACAGCTGTCGGAATCTTTCTTCCCCTCTGCCCTCGTGTGTCGGTGCTGTCCTCCATGCCTCCCTGCTATATCTCATCAGCCCATCAAGTTCCTTAGCTCCCTCCCCAAGCCTTGGGTCTTTGGTTCTGCCTTTCCTACTTGCCCCTTCCTCGGCACTGGTTCAGTCCCTTGTCGCCGATGGACCTCCTGGTAGAAAGGCTTCCCTCCCTTCTCCTTCCTGAGGCTCCTCCTTACTGATGGGGCCATTGTAAGGGGCCTGGCCTGCGCCACGTTCGTCCGATGGTCCCGCTTCTCCTGGCCCTTCTCCCCGACTAGCACCACCACGCCTGAATCCTTCACTTCTTTCACTCTCCACCGCTCGACGCTTAGTCCTATGTCCAGCATGTCCTGCCTCGCCTGTTTGACATACACTTCCTCTCCCACCCCCAACTGTGGCCCCCTTTTCTCTGTCTGCTCTTCTCTCCTCCGTTTGTAGCGCTGGGCATCCCTGAGCTGTGCCACTTGCAGGTTCTCGAGTGCCGCTGGCAGCATCTCCCGTTGGTACTGCGCCCGCGCCTCAGCTAACCCCACCCAAGCCTCCGCTGTGTCGGCCCTGACCACCCCCGTCAAGAGCCGTGGCGCATCCACCGGTAGGATGGGTTCCCTTCCTAGCAGCAGGTAGTAAGGGGAGAAGTCTTTTAGGGCCGCTTGCTTACTAAATCGGTATCCTGCCGCCACCCAGGGTAGCCTTGCATCCCAATCTCGCTTGAACTTCTCTCCGTATGCCCTTAGTCCTCGCTTCATAGTCTGCACAAACCTCTCTGTCAGGCCGTCGCTCTGCGGATGGTACCGTGAGGTCCGCCGGTGAGTAATGCCACTCGCCTTCAGTAACTTCTCAAATTCACCCAAGAACTCAGTGCCTTGGTCCGTCAGTACTTCTCCGCAGGCTCCAAAGCGTGTCAGCACTTGCTCCTCGAATGCCTCGGCTATCTTGGCTGAGCTCTTGCTCGGCAGGGCCTTGACTTCCACCCATTTGCTGCCGTGCTCAATCATTATCAGAATGAACTTCTTCCCCCTTCGGCTGAGCGGCATCTCTCCTGCCAGATCTAGGGACCAACGGAACCCTATTCCCCTGATAGGTAACGACTGAAGCTCCTCCCTTCCCTTCTCGAGCTCCGCTTTGTTCCGGCTGCATAGCTCGCACGAGCTCACCCAAGCTTTGATGTCTCCTCTCATGCCTG